ACGACAAAACGACGACGAAACGTTAACGAAACGTCAACGAACGACAATGGACGACAGCAAACGGTTCACGGACAGCAAAGGACGGTTCACGAACTGCTACGAACGGTTGAAGGACGGCCGAACGGTTCAGGAACGGTTGTCGGGCGGTTATCGAAAGGCTCAGGAACGGCTCAGGAACGGCTGCGCACAAATCAGGAACGGCTACCGAACGGGTCAGGAACGGCTATAAACGGCTAACGAATGGCGACGAATGACGGATGACAAAGAACCATTATTGAAAGACGATGAACGGGAATAAACGGTTATTGAATGGTTAAAAAATTAGAGATATAAATTATAATGTAATTTCTTTGCACATATTATTACGCGCCGACCAGCCGCACAGCTAAAAACATGACATCGTTAAAATCCGACGGACGTAAAAATATCGAGAAGCTACGACTCGTCGAGGAACTGCATGCTCCGGCGAGAAGAAATTTTCCCCGAAGACGCGTCGTAGTGCAGGGTTACGACGACCTGTGGCAAGCTGACATCGTCGAGATGCGTCCGTACTCTCGTTTCAACAGAGGTTACCACTACATACTCACCGTCATCGATGTGTTGAGTAAGTACGCGTGGGCCGTACCGCTCAAGAGTAAAGGCGGAAGCGAGACGGCTGATGCTATCGCAGAGATAATTCGAGATAGCGAGAGGCGCCCGAAAAATATGCAAACCGATATGGGGAAGGAATTTTACAACGCCGACGTGCAACGTCTCGTGAAGAAACACGGCATCAATCATTATTCCACGTATTCGGTGTTGAAGGCATCGGTCGTCGAACGATTCAATCGCACGTTAAAAAACGACATGTGGAAGATGTTTACGCTCAACGGAACTTACAAGTGGGTCGACGCGTTGCCGCGACTCGTGTCGGATTACAACACGCGCAAGCATCGAACGATCGGTATGCGACCCGTCGACGTTACCCCCGCGATCGCCGAAAGACTCTTGGCTACGGTGTACAGCGTGATAAAAATCGCGGGTCCGGCAAAGTTCAAAGTAGGTGACTCGGTACGCGTTAGCAAGTACAAGACGATCTTCGAGAAGGGTTACACGCCAAATTGGACCACCGAGGTGTTTAAGATCGTTAAAGTGCAGCGTACTAATCCCGTAACCTATTTACTCGAGGACTATCGCAAAAAATCTGTCGCTGGGGCGTTCTACGAGTACGAGTTGCGTCGCGCGACTTACCCGGACGTGTATCTCGTGGAGAAAGTTCTGCGCAGAAAGGGTGACGAGGTTTACGTGAAATGGTTGGGATTCGATGGATCGCACAACTCTTGGATACACAAGGACAATGTGGTTTAATTCGTACAAACTGTATTTTATTTTTAACATATGAAAAATATAAAATACATATAAAGTATCTGAAATATGTAAAAATATATAAAAGTATAATATGTGTAGGATGTATACAGCATATAAAATATGAAATATAAAAAAAAAAGAAAGATAGAAATATATTTCTGTTGTTTTCCTCATATATACATGCATACATACATACATACATGCATGCATTACATTACATTACATTACGTTACATTATAAGGGTATCCGGTAATGTCCCCACGGTAGCGTGTCGGTCGAATCAAGTACGATATATCGCTTGTCGTCGTACGGACTCAGGGCGATTTTTGTCTCGCTGATTGTGTACACTTCGTGCAATTTTGACCTTATGCATGACTGCTGTCGAGTCGTTTCAATTTCATCGTGCAGGCACCGCGTGTAATCGTCGAACGTTATCGTTCTCGCTACGACGTTACTCTTGACGCCTTTAACCTTTTTTGTATCCTTTTTACTATCTACTCGCAACGCGTACATTTTTGCTCTAAGCCCGACAAATTCAGTCATGATCGCACCGTTATTCTCGTCCTTCATCAAGCCCGGCACTTTCTTGTTCTCGAGCGGTATACCGTACGCGTTGTTAGCCGGATAATCGCTCGTGTCGAATCTAGCAATATCGCGTTTCATATTCTTGTACACATCCTCGCACTCGATGTGATAAATCAAACTGTCTGTATCGGTGTACATTATTTTACATTTCTCTCGATATAACGGTACCATGTATTCGTGATGAAATTCGTACAAACACGTTTTAGAAATGTCTAGGATGCACATACCGACGTAGATCGGTTTATTAAATTTCACCTCGAGTTTGCACAATTCGACAGCGACCAAATTTTCCGAAAAGACGCTCCTGCTGTGAAAATTTGGTTTCGCGATCATCGCCTCCGCACCGTATCGTCCGTTCCACTTTGTTAATAATTTTACATCGACGTGATTGCGCACGTTTTCCATAGTTTTACCGAATACCGCGTTGTTCATTAACTTGTATAAATTTTTCTCGAAATCGTTCGTCGCGCGCGTTCTAAACCGGGTGTTGAGTTCGATGTAATCGCGGAGGATGCACATACCGACGTAGATCGGTTTATTAACTTTCACCTCGAGTTTGCACAATTCGACAGCAACCAAATTTTCCGAAAAGACGCTCCTGCTGTGAAAATTTGGTTTCGCGATCATCGCCTCCGCGCCGTATCGTCCGTCCCACTTTGTTAATAATTTTACATCGACGTGATTGCGCACGTTTTCCATAGTTTTACCGAATACCGCGTTGTTCATTAACTTGTATAAATTTTTCTCGAAATCGTTTGTCGCGCGCGTTCTAAACCGGGTGTTGAGTTCGATGTAATCGCGGAGCCATGCGGGTTGAGCGATTTGCAATACGCGATGTATCTTTGCGACGCGAAGGCCGTGACGCGTGCATTGTTGCAGGTTGCGATAGTGTATGACGTAACGCTTCTTATCGTATAATGTCGCGAGGAGCTTGTCCTGCCGCTTGCCGGGCGGCTTATCGCGCGTCGGGCAGAACGGTAGGTTCGCGTGCGCGTCGTGAAGATGTTGCGGATACTCGAGATCGATCTCGAGAATATAACCTATGGGTGAATCCGAAGTGATCGCGCTAACGTCAAAGTCAGAGATGTCGTCGACCCATCGAAATTCGGCATAGGGCAACGGTTGACACATCGCCCAACCGTACAAGTTGTTTACATCGAAATACATCATGTACGACGATGGTTTCGATGGATCTTAAGACGGCGTGTACTTGTTATTGGCTCGCGCGTATCTGCCGGAACATTGGCACATCAGGCCACCGCGTATTCCCCGTTCGATAAACATAACCATATCGATATCAGTAAATAATTCAAACGTAATATTCGTATGTTTTAGCATGGCGTCCCACGTGTATCAGGGAAGAGTATAATAATACGCGGGGTCGAGCCCATAACTCACGATACATTTGTCGCGAAAATTTTCAAAAATGTCGGCCAATAACAAGACATCCGTTTTTAAATACAAGTTGCTGTATTCGCCCAGCGTTCGAACGGAGGACCGCCTCCAGACGTTTTCGGCGTGCGCGTAATCGCTCTCGGATACGGTGTCACCGGTCAAGGAACTGTAAAATGATTCGCGCGGTGGTAAACACGTATCGTGCAACCTATCGACACAGTCAATGTATTCGTATGGAAAGACACCTTTTCGCGTCAATAAATTGAACTCTTTGGTCGATAAATCTTGAAATTTCGATTTTAAAAGTTGGAGTTTATCATTATTTAGAAACGATGCCAATTTTTCGAGACTAGTACTGAGAAATTTGTACGAATCGATGAACCGTAGCTTTATATCGCTTCGCCAATCTGATCTTTTGGCGGTATCTTTAACGTGTTTTGTGAATGAAATATACTTTTCTTTCGTTATTGGTAGTACGTTGATCGAGCCTTTGAACGCGGTAGCTATTTCCTCGATGATAAAATGTGAATCGTAACCTGATAAATTGTGAAAAATTATTGGAACGCAAAAAGAGTCTTTATAATTTAAATTGCAGTTTGAATGCGCGGGACCTCGGTACCGCCCGGTAAGATGGCAATTATTGCGTACGCGTGTATCGTCTTGCTTGAACGGTTTTTCGCAAATGTGACAGTGTGTCGCGCTGTGAAACTTTTCCCGCTCATCTCGCGTTAAGTTTACCATGGGGACATTCGTGGTTAAAATAATCTTTACGCGTTGCGTCCGCCCGCGTGACGTCATGCCCCCTCGCCCGCGCGGGACCCCCGTCCCTCACCTCCCCTCAGAGGATCTGAGTTAGAACTCTCCTATTAACACTACTGATATCGCTTCGTTAAATAAGCTAGATGTTACTAATACTATGCGCTGTGAAAAACATTTAAAAAATTGCGCTTTACAAAATGTATTTAAAATATTCAATTGGTGGACGCATCAGCATAAAGATTCACCCAAACATTATTTACTATTGTTACATTAAACTATTGTTAAAATATATTTTTATTCTCTTTATTCTTCCCTTTTCCTCTTTCTTATCCCAGTATGCGAGTATTAAATTTCAGTACGTTACGTTAGATAGCGGCGTCAGCCATTTAATTAAAATATAGATATTACATGTCTATAGACATAAAATTTTTAAAATAATAACTTGTAACGACAGAGTCGTTCCGAAATAATATATATAAATATTTGTAAATATATGTATATAACCTTGCATGCCTCGCTGTCTCTTCCTGCTATACCTATCCTGCTTGCGCATACGCTACTCGTACTATCTCGCTCGCACGTACGCCGCTCGTGCTATCTCGCTCGCACGTACGCCGCTCGTGCTATCTCGCTTGCTCCACGGCAAACCGACTCCCACCAGCGGACCGACAACGCATAGTGGGGGCGCCGGCCGGGTATATAAGCCCGGCCGGCCGAGACATCGGAACCAGATCCTGTCCCGACACCCAACTCCTGACACCGATCTACCTACTACCTCTTGGGGCTAAGGCTTTCTGCCAGGTTTTCTGGTTCTTGCTACCTTACGGGCTGAGGTTTTCTCAGCCCTGCCGGGTTTTCCGGTTCCTTGTACCAGCCCGGGCTGAGGTTTTCTCAGCCCCGCCGGATTTTCTGGTTTCCGTTGCAGCCGAAACTCGACGTGACACTCGGGCCTGCCGGCAATACCCAGCCGCCTAGCCTAACCGTAGTCATAAGTACATGTAGATACCGCGCCGCAATTATAAGCCTGTTAGTAATAAGTCCGGTTAATTGTAAGTCCGCGCCTGCGAAACCCGCCGTAATCATAAGCCTGCTAGTAATAAGTCCGGTTAAGTATAAGTCCGCGAATCACGCCGTAATCATAAACCGCTAGAAATAAGCCCGACCGGGATAACCGCGTCACGATCAACCCGCGTGTAAATAGCGTCACCGTAGATACTAAGCTAACGCGCATGTAAATAAAGTCATAGTTAAGTCGAATATACTTCGCGCTGCATGCCGCTTCACGCGCTTGCACTTCCCGCTGCGCTCGCGTCCTAGCGCCCGTTTGCCACCAAGCGCACGCCGCCTAAACACCGCACGGCCCTGCACGCTACTCTGTATATATTTCGCTTTCAATAAACTATCTTTTCTACCTATACTGTGTCTACGCAAGCTTAAGTCTCCCCTCCTCTCGAACCCGGACACCGACAAGCCGATCCGAGCGTCGAGCGAGGTGACCGCGTTACAAATTAATTTGTCGTTTAATAGTCGTTCAATAGTCATTCATAGCCGTTCAATAGTTGTTCATAGCCGTTCAAAATCGTTCAAAAGCTGTTTGATAGCCGTTCAATAGCTGTTCATAGCCATTCAATAGCCGTTTCATAGCTGGTCAATAGCCGTTCAATAGCTGTTCAGAGCTGTTCAAAAGCTGTTCGATAGCTGTTCGATAGCCGTTCAATAGCCGTTAGATAACCGTTCGATAGCTGTTTTCATATTATAATAATATATTATTCATAGTTAAAAGACTTGTAGATAATTGTCCGCGGTAACATGCTAACTTTTGTCTTCTTATCATGTGCAGACGATAAGCGTTCTTTGTAAGTGATACATCCCCTACTATAAAATATTTAATTGAGACAATGTCTGCCCTATCGTGGCTGTCATAACGTTTCGAACAGTGAGTGACAAAAGCGTGTTTAAAGTTCGTTTATTACACGAAGTGTTCAAAAATGCCGTCGTTAATAGAATTAATATTACAACGAGGACGGTTGAATGCGTCATGGTGGGCGCGGAATCTGACAATGGGACTGTTGAGAGCCCTGTTAAATCTGGTTGTGTTTCAAAGTGTAAGTAATATTTCCACATATTTTACGTTGTATTAATTATGTATAACATATATTATAATTCGATTTAATTTAATTTATAGTATGACAATACGAGCGACATAAAAATTCTCAGATTTGTGAATATCGAACACCGGAAGTTTGTCAGAATATTGCGGCAACACGAAAGGAAGATCTGCGAGAACGTGTGGGAGGACAACCCGGACGGCCTCCATTTAGACATAAGACGTCTCTTCGACCTCGAACCCTACGAGGAGGACATAGAGTAATTTTGGGACGAGCCTCCGAGCAAGAGGGCAAAGGCTTGATTGTAAGTATCTATTTTAAAAAATTTTATAATATTTGAATTGATTTATTAATAAGACTTGTATTTTTTCTGTTTCAGATAGAGCATCACCCTAAGATTTTTATTATTATTATCTTTATCATTATTATCATTATTATTATTATTTTACGCACGCACGCACGCATGCACGCACGCACAATTTTTAAATAAATATTTTTTTTATTATTATTATGAAAATTAAAGTGTCAATTATTTCTGCGCCTCCTTCTTTCCTTTTTCTACTCCTGCATACCTGTGCGCTATCTCTCTCTAACGTGTATGCGAACGTCATCCTTCTCCCACGTTCATGCAATATCTTTACGCCATTCTTTTCCAACGTGCATGCAAAACGCTATCCTTGTCTTACGCTCATATGGACGCCTCGCGCTATCCTTCTCCCACACCCATAGAATATCATTAGCGCTATCCCTCTCCTACACATTGCAAACGCCTCGCGCTATTTTTTACACCTACTCGCGCTATCTCTTTCATACCTACTCGCGGACGCATGCGTTCCCCCTCTTCCCCGCGACCCTCTCGTCAACTCACGGACGCGTGTGTTCACCCTCTTCCCCGCGAACCCCTCGCCTACCGCATTCGCCGCGATCCCCCTCTTCCCTGTGGACCCCTCGCCTACCGCATTCGCCGCGGTCTCCCTTCGCGGACCCCTCGCCTAACCGTTGCGCGCGGTCCCCCCTCCGCGGACCTCTTGCCTACCTGTTTCGCCGCGGTTCCCCCGCGTGACGTGATACCTCCCGCGCTGGTTTCCCTTCGCCCCTCACAACCCTTCAGAGGATCTGGGTTAGAACTCTTATAGCTATACTACTACTAGTTGCATGTTTAAGTTAATATAACAAAACAAATCTTGTGGAAATTGTATCAAAAATATTATATACAATTGATTTAAGAGCATCAGAGTTAGAACCTGAAATAGAAAGCATTGGTCAAGGAGAGAAATATGGTAATAATTTTGTTTATAAATTATATAATGAAGGTTATTATTTATTTTCTTGGATAATGGTTAAAGGGATCCTAAAGCGACGGGCGAACTCCGACGGGTTAGCGCTCTCATCTAAGTGTAACTAAAAGTGTTGGTATATTACCAACGCTTTAAAGTTACATTACCGATATCATTATGTAGAGTAATTGTCAAGGATATGTGCATACTTTGGAAAGAGCAATAAAATACAAGCTTTTCGCATTGTGTTAAATATGTAGAGACAGAAAATATGTTGGATTTCTACTCTATTTCTGTTCT